CATAGTTTATCTTGGTAACATCAGAAGAAAAATACTGGGGGCGCTGGCGAAACACCTTGTTGCACTGAAAGATAAATCCCCTGCATTTCTCCACCTCACCATGAAACGGCTCAGGGTCGGTGATGGGGAAATCCCGGCATGGAGTGGGTACTGGAGGCGGATTAGAGGTGGCAGGAGTTATAGCTGCTGCCGTCAGGTTGGAGATCTGAGCAGCCAGGTTAGAGATGTGCTGAGCCATGGATTGGTTACTGTCCACCAACGCACGGATTAACTGTTCATGTTGACCCAAAAGATTGCCTTGATGAGACAGGGCGTGCTGGACAGTGGAGGAGTCCGGTCCGGGGTTTGTGGGGTTCATTTTATGACCAGTTCGTTCTGTTAAGCTCCATGATCGCTTTTCAGGACTGAACCCACAATACAAACACAGACAGAAAAACAGGAGTTAGCAGCAAAAGGTTTTCATTACAAATCGTGACAGGGGATACTAACTGTTGTTAATATAGTCCAGGAAAGGGGATAAAAAAGCGAGGGAATGGGGATCCTCAGCCGAGGCTCCGGAGTGAGCTGGGGATTATCGCCAGGCAGATGAAAGGAGGGTTGAGCCTGTGTCTTTACACTCCCGAGAGCGAGTAGGTTGGAGCAGGAGTTAGGGTTTGTCCTACCGGACAGGAGTGTGGCGAGCAGGGGTTTCAGAGCTGAGGGGAGCGAGCAGGCTGGAGCTGGTTGCGTGGAGAGCGGATGAATCCGACGAGGAAGTGGCTGGACGTGGCTAGCGGAGGAGGTGATGATGGGTTCTGAATAGAGAGACAAACAGGTAAGACAAAAAACTGATTCCAGAGTTGTGTCAGGCTAGGCTAGAAAGCAATACGTTTACCAGTGTAATCTTGACGACGAACTGGTGAAGACTGGATGAGGAGACCGGGTTAATAAGCAGGTGTGGATGAGTAGATGATCAGGATGAATGAGAAGCAGCTGCGGAGATGAATTGGCGGGAACCAGAAGTAGGTCAGCCACTCCCAGCCCGGGAGACAAACACAGACAGACAGACAACAAACAAAAAGGGAAGCAGAAGGAGGGAGTACTGCAAATCCTTACAGTTTTGTGTGGTACTGGTGCTATCAGCCCTTGGATTGTTACTGGTGGAAGACATTATCAAGAAGCGGAGGAAGCGAATGATTAGGAGAAACCGCACTAAATGGGTGAAAGCATGGATACTACAGCGAGAAGCTCATGGGGCTTTCCCGAACCTGTGTCGAGAGCTGGAGGTCAATGAAATTCCAGATTTCAGAAATTTTGCTCGGCTTTTTCCAGTTCAGTTCCACATGTTAGGAACTCATCACTCCAATCATCCAGAGGGAAAACACAAATTACCGGGATTGCATCTCCGTGGGGGAACGTCTGATGGTTACGCTGCGATTTTTGGCAACAGGTATGCAAGCTAAGGATGTTGCTATATTTAAAATTGCAGCACTTTGTATATTATTGTATATTATGCTTCAGCAGTGGTAGACAAAGTACTTACACATTTTACTTCAGTAAAAGTAGTAATACCGCAGTGTAGAAATACTCTGTTAGAAGTAAAAGTCATGCATTAAAAGATGTATACTAGTGTAAGTAGAAAACCAAATGTACTTAAAGTACCAAAAGTACTGCTTGGTAGCTTCATAGCAACTAAAGTAATCAACTATCTTGTAAACCAGGGGTGCCCAACCTTTTTTGAACCGAGAGCTACTTTTAAAGTTGCCAGTCTGCCGAGATCTACCAGTCCAAATAGAGAAGCGTAGCCATTACTGACAGCCTACTACCAGGTAAATACACACTTCTACTTGTATAAAACTGACCTTTGTACGATGAATACTTCATAAAATACTGCAGATCCTTTATCTTACCTCTTTCTATACACACATACAAGTATTTAACTAAAGTTACACAACAGTGTTGTTGATACGGAGTTGGAGTTTATTCACACGTCACATACTACAGTGGGTAATGTTTTCAATGTTTTCAAGAGAACTCTTTAGTTCTCATGAACTAAGTACAGATCGCGTTCACACCGGAATAAGTTCCTGGGGGAGGATTAGGCAAATGAAGCCGTTGACGTCACTTCGTCTTCTTCTGCTTTGGGTTTACTGGCAGGCCGCAAACAACTTCACGGCGTATACTGCCACCCGAAGTCCCCGGCCGGAAGTCCCCGGAGTTGGGGACTGGTCAGTAGAAGCTGCTGGGACTCCCAGCAGCTTCTACTGAAGCCTTCCGAGTAAATCGCCAGAACTCTAACACCTCCTCATCTCCACCGCTCCCATGTTTTCTTTTGTGTTGCCATAAGTTAGTCTCTCTGCGTTTGTGCACTGGGCTAATGCTAATGCTAATAATGCTAATGCGAGGGTAATAAAATGGCGGCTTCACAAAACCTTTTTGGAGTTTTACGGGGCGTGGTTTGCAATCCGCCCAGCCAATCAGAAATAGGAACCTTTTTCTCCCACGAAAGTACCTGCTCTCTAGCAGGGACTGAAAAGGGGTAAAAAGGTTCTGATGAACTAATTTTAGTTCCGGCTCTTTTTGTTGTGAACGCGACATTTCGGAACTATATCGGAACTAGTGGGAAAAGTACTGCGGTGTGAACGCGGCTATTGTGTTCTTTTTAACCAAATATCTCTCAGAGGGGCGTGGGGAGGGGCTCCTTATTTTCATCTAAAGTAACAGACAGAGAATCAGCACTTTGGAAACAGGGCTGAAACAGAGGGGATTATGGGATGCTCCAATGATCTGTTTGGTGTTTGGAGCCAAACACTTCAGAGACATGTTTTGCATATATCTGAGACCTATAATAGATTGATGAAAAACAGTATAATAGGGGACCTTTAAATGCCATGTTGTAAGAATATTTAGATCTGGATATACAGTAAGCATACTGTCTGACCTCCATGAGTATGAAGGTGTAGGAAGCTCCAAAGTCCAGCAGGCCGAGGTTCAGTTCTGAGCATTTCCCTGAAGTTGAGCTGCAGCTGACGGCCGGATATCTAACAGGAGGAAGGAGGTGCATGAAGGTGGAGATGAATTAGAGACAAACAAAGAAGAATGCATAGAAATTAGAGACGATGCAAATTAAAAAATATTCTGCTTCAGCATAATCTATTGTAGGCATGATCTTATTAAAGATCTTATCATGTATCAGGGATTTTAATTTAAAATAAATTATTTAAAGGGCCCATGTCATGCTTTTCCGGTTATTACCTGTCCCCTTGTGTGTTATGAAGGTTTGTCTGCATGTAAACGGTCTACAGAGTCAAAAACCCTCAAAGTACACCCTGTAGAGAGTAAAACTCAGAAACACAGAAAATACCTGTCTATGCTGCCCCAGAACGCCTCGTTGGAGATTTCTCATTTTCCATTGTTTGCTTCCTGGGTTCTGTGACGTGTGAACACCCAGATCAACAACAAATGGCCGGATTGGCCCAAATGGACCAATCCGCGGAGCACCTCACACACCAGGATCCCTTGGCTAACAAACAGAGAGTCCCATTGACTTGCATAGAGCTCCCTGAACGTTGGTAATAGACGAGTTGGGATCGCGGAGAAATGCTCTCCGCAGACCCATTCTCACAGCGTTATAAACCTTTTTCTTTCTCAATATCAAGCCACACTTATTGTTTTTACTTCGACTGTGAGTGTTTGTGTGCTCAGGATGGGTTTCGCTTGTACTCGCTGTATTGCCGACCTGGAAACCTGTCCGCTCCTCGCAGCAGCTGCGAGCAGCAACGAGCTCGCAACGTCCCGACCAATCAGAGCACACTGGGCTCACAGGGAGGAGGGGGGGCAGGAGCTCCAACAAGCCGTTTAGGATAGAGAGTGAATACACAGACTATACAGAGATGCTTTATGAGAAACCAATGCAATTTTGGAAAATTGCACAATTTAAATCTATTCTAGTAGACCTCAACAATGGAATTATGATCAGTAGAAATGGCCATGACATGGGACCTTTAAGAATTGTATTTATCTCCACATATTGACTTTTGGCTGTTTTGGTCTCCCAACAACTCAACAAAATACCTGGCTTTCAGCAGCTAAATGCTAATACAGTATGTCTGTTCATTGTATATATATATATATATATATATATAGTGCTGTCAAAATTATCGCGTTAACGGCGGTAATTAATTTTTTGAATTAATTGCGTTAAAATATTTAACGCATTTAACGCATGTGCAGAATGGCCCGCCCCATACGTGCCACCAGTGGCAGCGCCAGGGTATGGCTGGGGTAGGCTACACCCATACCAAGAAATGGCTTAGCCCCACCATGAAAAATGATGTTAAAGGAAGCAAAATAAAGTCTGCCAACTCGCGCGGAGTAAATTGCACAGACAGCAGTTAGTAAGATTGATTTCAGTAGCCACGGTTTTGAAAACTTTTGTCACGTAGTGATCGACTTCTCAATAGAACATCTTTGATAACGGCGTGGTGTTGTTGCAGGAAGTCCCGACGGAGAATACTTTTGCTATAGTACAGGGGTGCACATAACTGGTACGCAGGTTATGTGCGTAATCTGAAATGCGAACCGTCACTTGTGTCACAAAGCGCATTTGCGTACCGACGTACTTGTGAAGCTTTTCCAGAAGGCGGTTAGATCACCGGACAACAGAGTCGGTCTCCGTGGGCACAGACAGGGCTGCTGTTAACGTCGGTCTGTACAACGGAATTGTGCCAAAACTACGCCAACCGGCTGCGGAGGGAGAACTCCCCCCTT